AGCACTGGCTTTGGATTATAGACTTCCCACCACAACGATGTAGGTCTGAGCTGAGAATTGAAGTTCAGCCATAATAGCTTAATAGCAACTAAAATGTCACTTTCATTGGGTGTTTTTTTTTTGGGGGGGGGGGGAATTTCCACCCACCCCTGTTAAAATGGTTCTTTAGAAAATGGGAGACCATATTGACAATTTTTTTTAGTCTAGTAACATGATATCAAATTCATATCCCACCCCCCTTTTAAAAATTACTTGCTAGTCCTCTTTCTTGTCTATTATTTTAAATTTACAAAGAGGCAGAGGGGGAGGTTACCAACTATGGTCTTTAGGAAGTTAATAGAATAAGATACTTCCTTAGTCAAGTACTCCACGGTAGGAGAAAATCCCTATACCCTGACTTCCATGTAGCTAGAATATAACAGCTGGTATGATTCAGAAGAAGCAAAACTCTAGACACCAACATTTTCAGATGTGAATAAGGAAGGATAGACAGATCAGACAAGGTCCATATAATAGAGACTTTAAAACACTAAGGGTGATTAATTACCTGAAAGCATCTTCAGCATATCTACAATCTTAGTTTGTGTTCACCTTGTCCTAGATGAGGTTTAGGAATTTGCCCAAATTTGTTAATGTAGGCGTCATAATTGAGCTGTTAGACTTGCGTTTTATATTTTGGATTTTGAACTGGCAGGTTTGGATGCAGGAACTGCAGCTAGCAGCTCAGCACACAAAACAACCACCCCCAGCCGATGGTCTTGGACAGAGGCCTTAAGTCCACCAGGGAGATGTTACACACCGTATAATTAAAGCCACAGAATGCTATTGCTTTTCTTGGTTTAAGCTTCCAAAATTTTGTTTATTGGAGCAAAGCCAATTTAGCCTGTCGATTTACATATCGTGGCTGCAGAGGGTTTGGCAGATGGTCTAATTGCATGGCTTCTCGCTAGATTATTTTACTGGCTTTAGGGCAGTTACCACAAAACTTGAATTTAAAAGGAGGATAATGTACACGTCCAAAAAGATTTGGCCCCTCTGGCAAATTCCAAAGTAAACATAGTACGCTGTGTTTATGTACCAACATGGGAGTGAAAGCTGTCTCACATTGCTAGCAATCTATTGAGCAATGTCTTCACCTACCTTAGCAGACCCTCCAAGTGTCCCTATTTTCCAGGGACAGTCCTGGATTTACAGAAGCCATCCCGGTTTCTGATTGGGTCCTGAAATGTCCCACTTTTCCTTAGGACATCCCTATTTTCATCAGATAAATTTTGGAAGGTATGGTGTTATCTGACCCCTGAGCTGTCTGAAGGCAGCCCTGTATAGGGAAGCTTTATTAATGTTTAATGTTTTATTGTGTTTTTATATGTGCTTAAAGCCACCCAGAGCAACCCAGTCAGATGGGCCGAGTATAAATAGTAAAAGTATTATAACTGTGGGAAGTCAACATGGCACAATCTAGATGCTGCTGGACTCCAAATCAGTCCTAGTCAGCATGGCCGGTGGTGAGGGATGATGGGAGTCCAGCAACCTCTAGAGTACCACATTGGCTACCCATGCAGTTTCACTACCCTATCATTCGGAATGTCCATAAAATGTTTTAGCTATATTGTTGAAAGATCACAGATGTTTTAGACTATGACTCCCACCAGCTCCAGCCAAATGACTTCCCTTCCCTTGGCTCTGGTCAATACATAACAGAGTTTGATTTACGGGCTTGTTGCATTAGAAATATGCTTAGTACTTTTATTAGCTCCTGTTATTACCTTGTTTTAATGCTGTTTTTATTATGGGCTAAGACTAAAACAAAGAAATGGTTGCCTTCTGCTTTAGCCTTTTCACATTGTTTGTGTACATTCAACAAAAAAATAGTCCATGGTTCACTGAAGGATGTGATATTTCATTGAAAAGACATAGCTGTTGTCAGCTGTCTTTGGTTCCTAAAGAGCTACAGCTGCACTCGAAAACAACCCCTGGAACAGGCATGATAACTGCTTATTTGATATACAAACCTGGCATCCTTTATATGTCATTAAGTGTAGATATGAAATGGGGCCCCAATCAATTAACAGCATTTCCCCCAAAAAGTCGAAATAAAATTTTAGATGCCAGGGAGAGTTGTTTAATCTCTGGATAGTCTCCTACATTAAACAAACAAAGTGGCCACACTCCAGATTGAATTGATCTAGACTGTGGGCCCATTGCATTCAAATTTTCAAGGACATTCTTCCACTTATTAGAATGAGGGCCTTCACCAGAAACCATTGTTAATAAGCTGAAGATGTTGCTTAATTTTTACAGAAAGGGTGCAGAGACACAAGGCAAAAGTGTCTGGCCGAAATTTCATCTCAGCATGTGTAAATGTGTTATTTTCTTAGCACTAAGTAAATGTTGTGGGAAGGACACAGTACTAGTTTTAGCAGTAAGAAAATGGCACATTATGCACAGTTAGAGATGACATTTTGAGCCTACTTGGAGCCATGGAAGAAAACAAACTCAGTTAATGCATGGCACCCCCACCAGAAAATGAGGCTGTTTCTTACATTCTTCCCATTGTGAAAACAAACTGACCACATAAACCTAGGGGGGAAATGTTATGAATTGTTAAATTGCTGAGTTAAGCAAGATGTAACTCAGGATCTGTCTATACCACAATTCTCCAGGGCTCTGGGAAACAAATGTGTAGTACTGGGCACAGAATTCTGCTTCCTGACAGCTCACCTTTCATTAAAAGGGGATTTCTACAAGTAGCAGGTATGCAATGACCTCAAGATTTGGTTCAGACTTGATGTGGCACTTCAGAAAACAGCATGCCTTGATCTGAAGGCTGCCTGATTTGGCTTGGGGTTTGAGGCCATAACCAAGTCCAAAAACAAAGCTTCCCATAACACATTGTTATTGGGAAATAAACATGGGAAGGAAACCTGACAAATTAGAAATAGGTCCAGAGGTTTTTATGCTAGGCATCTTTAAAGTTGGTTTGCAGGGATGGGAAATAAGAACTAAAAAGGATCTAGTTTCCTCTCTTTGGTTTTGTTTGTTCTGAATTTTACATTGTAAATTATTGTGCACATCAGAGCACCCCCAGTCTGTAAGGGTTGCAACAATGAGTTTGCTTTATTGAGCCCCAATAAAGTAAGCAGGTCAAACATTATGAAACCAATATCACAATATGGACTTGAATCCAGTTTGGGACAATATATCGATTTATCACCCATCCCTAGTATACACCCACCATTTTATTCTAGAATCAAGAGAGACTGATTTTTGTCTGTCATCCACACACCATCTGTATATTTTTTGCTCCTGAAAATATATTGTTGAGAAACTGGTTTCATTCCAACAAATAAAAGTTCGTTGCAAATTGATTTTGTATTACCCCACATTTGAAAACAGATGGGGGGGTCGTCCCAACAATGTGGGGGAGGTCCACACCTGCCCAATGCTATTGTGTGTGGACCCACAGTAAAGTCACAATCACCTCTTCTTTCTTCATTCACCTGGGACACATGCAGGGAGGGGAAGGTGTGGATAATCTAATAAAGGCATTCAAACGTGCATCAAGTAACCACATCCACCCTTGTTCATGCCACCATCTGGAATCACTCTAGAACAAAAGCAGCATGCTTCATGAGGACAAGAATGAGTAAGCCCTAATTCAGAAAACAACAACACATTTTTGTGCTACAAATGGGTTGGTGTGTACACTAACTAGACAGTATTGTATATGAAACAGCCACACAAAATGACTCTTATAAAGTCATAATTGATAATGCAGGCTATGGCTGATAAATGAAATAAGTAAAAATCCCTTGAGGCAAGCAAAACTCAAAACACAGACAACAAGAAGATTAAATCAAAAGAGAAATCAAAAGGTGTGGGGGAAGAAAAAAGTGGAATTTACTTCTGAATAAATGCGGTTAGGGGGCGTTATGTGCTTAAAAGGGGACAAGGATATTTCCCCTCGATGCTCATTACATGACTGGTTTCCCCACACCCAGTTCTAATTCACCGAAGCTGCCTTCTGTGCGTGTGGTATCATCCGCACGTGTGCAATGGCTGCCTGGACTGTACACACCTCAGCTTAACCACAGCTTCCATTTTCTAATCAGACACAAGCTGCTCTGAGAGAAAGCACATCAAACAAGAAGCTGCAAGAGACGGATTGATTGTGGCTAACATCGTGCGTATTTGGCTTCAAACACCACTGGTGGGAGCACGCCGGATTCGGAGTAAGCGAGACTGTGTAAGCCGAGGATTGCACTGCCTGGGAACTAACCCCCACTCCTCAACCTTACATCAAACAGATTTCCCTCTTGAAGGATCAATGAGAAATTCTGACAGGGGGATCAATTTTTTAAAACTATCCGCTTGTATATTTATTACAGAAGTATATAGCTCGCCACCCAAAGGATATAGCTTGCCTACCTTTGATAGGCAGGTCTTACAAATTAGGAAATGGGGAGACATGCTTCCAAATGGGGGAACCCCTGTTTACTTAGCCCTGTTTACTTATTACCTACTCAACAGGTTAACCACCAAAATCCCAAAATCTGTTCCCATGGCGCTGTCTTCGCTCGCTACATTTGCATCATAAAAGCTGTTGCAGTAGCTTAACTTTGAGGGAATATCAGAAGCCCAAAGCACGAAGAAAATCTTAGAATGTGCCCTTTCCCCCCACGTAACCATGTTATACAAATACTCTTGCTCATGGTTTTAGGCTGCAACCCCATACTCTAGAGAGTAAATCCTATGGAATTCCGTGGAAACTTACATCTGAGTAAACGTGCATAGGGTGGCACTGTAGAGCGTTATTTTCAGCCCTTTTTTCCCCTTTCCCAAGCTTCTCCCACAGTGCAAGACATTTTTCCTTCTTTGAGGGAGAAAAAAAGTGGCAACAAAAGACAACATTCCTGAATCAACAAGTGTAGTAAGCAAGGAAAATTGCCGTTTCGTCGCGTTTGATTTGGCAGGGGCGGAGGAAAACTGTGCAAAATTACAGCGGGGGGAGAGAGAACCAGAGAGATTTGCAGATAGTGCGCCTGGGCAAGAAGCCTCAGGAGATTTCAGAAGGTGGACAGATTTCTCTCTCGTTAATGACTTCAGATCCACTGAACACATGCCAGCAGGAAAAGCCGTTCAGCTCCCTGGCTTGGCTTAAAGCCCGCTGCTTGCCTGCTCCTTTTTGCAAAACAAGAACCTGAAGTTGCTAGCAGGTTGGCAGGAAGGATGGGCTGCAGAAAAACTTCGCCGGGTGGTCCCAGATAATCTGTAGGACAGATATTTGGCTGGAGGAGGTAGCCAGAAAGGTAAGCAGTTATCTGTCTCTGTTTTGAATGGTTGTTCTGTACGTAGTTTTGCTTGAGGCTAAAGAATCGGATGCAAGCAGACTAAATAGGAGCCTGTCTAGCTGTGTGCTCGTGCCAGGTTTCTGGGGGGATTTCCAAGATTTAAACTTCCCCACCCTCTAGTTACTGCTCTAACTATGGCACACAGGGATTCCTCCGGACAAAAGCCAGGAAGACTCTTCCTTCTAGATTTGTGAATGTTATTATCCCCCGTAGCAATAAAAACAGTATCACTGTTAAAAGTAACGAGCATATTAATGCCAAGAGCTTTTATGATAGCTGGTGGCAGCAAAAGAAAGAATTTTTCGGGGGACACAGAAGTGAGGGAGTTGTGTCCTGCTACTACATGTTAAGGTCTCTGGAAGAAAAATAGTAGTATATGTTAATGACAGGAGTCCAAAAATGGAGGAGGCAAGTGTGGGGAGCTCCTTTGGGGGGGGCTTGCCCTCCTACCCTCTGACATCACCCTTGGCAATAGCCAAGAAGGAAGCCTTGGTAAACTGCACCTTGAAAATAATACTATTTAATGTTTGTGCGGCACATTTCAAGTGTTCAAAGTGTTTTAAGCTCATTACGCAATAATTTTTAAAACAGCCCACAAAAAATAGACTGGTGTTATTACAGTGGTACCTCGGGTTACATACGCTTCAGGTTACATACACTTCAGGTTACAGACTCCACTAACCCAGAAATATTATCTCGGGTTAGGAACTTTGCTTCAGGATGAGAACAGAAATCGTGCAGCAGCTGGAGGCCCCATTAGCTAAAGTGGTACCTCAGGTTATGAACAGTTTCAGATTAAGAACAGACCTCCAGAACGAATTAAGTTCTTAACCCGAGGTACCACTGTATTCCTGTATCAGTTGGGGCGGGTCTAAGGGCCACTTCAAACATAACTCCCCCCCCCCCCCAATTAGTATTGGCACTGGCTCGGGGTAACATGCATCAAAGCATAGCATTTCATTTAAAACAAAAAACAGTAGATGTGGATTGTAGTTAACATTGTGTGTACACAATTTCCAAATCAGTGGTGGAGCACACGGGGTGCAAAATAAACCAGAGTGAGTAACACAGATTAATGTGCATTAACTGGCAAACCTCTGTTTGCTGGTATGTAATGCATGGAAGTCTGAGAGCACACTATATATGTGATTGGAATGCTTGCTGTATTTTTATTGTAGAAAAAACAGCTGCAGGGGCTCCCGATTTGGATTGGGGCTACTGTGGGCAGGGAGTAGGGGAATCTCGCCCTAGGATCCCATACCACTGCCCCAATCCAAATGGGACCTGCCATTAGCCAAAGGGGAAATACAGGGTTAAGTCGGGGAACTGGTGCAGATTCCAGAGTTTGCAACTTAACAGGGAGAGGTTAAGGCAGGGGCAGACTTTGGCAATCTTTAACACCCTGTGTGAGGCCAAAAGTTGATCTTCTCAATTATGGATCTTCTCATCAAGTTTGTGCCCCCTTGGCTCAGTGCCCTGTGTGGTGTGGGTGGGGGCACCTGCACTGCCTTAAAACTGGTGCTAAATTAAGGAGCAATACCCTTAAAAGTGCTTTAAGATGCGAATTGAGAGAGTGCTTTAAGCACCAAAAATGCTACTTTCTGAACCCAGAAATCATAATGGGTTTACTTGCATTATTTTAAATGTTTGATATTATGTTTTTATGTGTGTTGGAAGCTGCCCAGAGTGGCTGGGGCAACCCAACCAGATGGGCAGTGTATAAATAATAAAATTATTGTTACTACTACTACTACTACATGAGCAATCCTTACATGCAATCCTGAAGAGTGTACGTACTACACAGACGGCAAGAAGCCTCACTTGGTTTTCCAAAAACCTCACAGGAGAAAGGAGAAGAGTAAAGGACAAACTGCATTTATCTATATATAGCTTGTTTATATAAAACCCACATTCTCTGAGTGTGCCAGTTTCAGATGGGCTGAGACATGAATAGTCCCTTGAGTAAGTGTTTATAGCCACTGCTCCGCATTTGCAAATCCATTGTAATACAACATCACATACCAGCCCCTTAAAGGGATGCAGAAGCACTGATGTCTACTATATTTTCTCTAATCTTGGCAATGAGCATTAATGCCTTCAAGAGAACAAACAATAGCCTAAATACTTATTTTAACAGGAGCATTGAAAAATGTTAGATTTTAGAGACATGCTGCAACTGGCGTCCCCCCCCCCCAATCTTCCTTTTTCTTTTTTCTGACATCTGGGGGTGGCAGAACTTCAAGGGAGATTTGAGAGAAAAGTGGTGATACATATAGAAATAGTTTTCCCCCTCAGATAATTCCATCAGCAGAAATTACATAAACATTAGTCAGTTAAAATTGGCTATATTTTCAGCAAAATTAGGCATGCCTAAGTCCCATTTGTCTGAGTCCCACAGGGTGAGGGATCTGCCAGGATGGTGCTTCCTCAGAGGTTGATGAATCCAATAGGTCTTCAGTCTGTCCATGGAGACTGACTTTTCAGCAGACTTGGCAAGCCCTTCTGTTGAAGCTCTAGTCAATTTCTCAAACAGGAAGCTCGCCATCTAGGCAGCTGACATTCTTAGATTAAGTCTAGTTCGTGAGAGAGAGAGGGGTTATCTAAGAATGTCAACAGCTTAGGTGGTCAGCATCCTGTTTGAGATTTTAATGTTTAATGTTTTCCCCTAGATCTGCTGGAAATGAAGTGTGTGTGGGAGTGTGCATAGAGGTCAGGTAATAAAATATCTGGGGGTCAACCTACCAAAAGCAGCTTAGAGCCCTATTCTGCAATAGTGTCGGCAAACAAGGATCAAACTGTATTTTACATCAATGTGTAGTCTGGCCTTGCATGCTTAATTCCCCCTTCCCAAATGTATACTTAACTTATGGAATTCACTGCCACATGATAAGCACCATCCTCAATGACATTTTAAAGGAGTAGACAGAATCATGGAGAAAGGTCTATCAACTGTTTTTAGCTATGGGTGCTTCAAAATTCAGAAGTAGTATACCTCTGTATTCCATATCGAGACAATCAACAGGGGAGGTACCAGACTAGCTGCTGTTGGAAACAACAAGACGAACCAGTTGATACAGAAAACCAGGTCCTAGGTCCCACATCACTCCAGTAATGTAGGAATGGATGAACCACAAAGAGATGCAGGGTCACATGAGAAGAACCACACCAGCAACAAAGGCTGAGTTAAGAAGGTGGTGCTGATGAGCTTTTAGCTGCATAAACATGCCCTTCATCCATTACAGGAGCAGGGTGGAAAGCAGCTATGGGGAGCAGTAATCACACCACTTGCAAAACTTAAGAACCAGACTGCTGAGCAATAGTGCAGCTGCTTCTCTATTCAGAGGAAGTACTTAGTCCAACAGTAGAAACTGCCTAGTGTACCCCCACGAACTGTTGCATCCTATATTCTTCTCCTTTATTTTGATGAGGCTTGTCAGCCTGGGAAAACAGCCCAGTTATGAGAAGGAAAACTGACCCTAAACCTCCACAGCCTTGGGGGACATCTTTGGGAGAAGAAAAGGCTACGGAGCAAACCCTGCCAAATCTGGAGTGGAGGCCCTAAGATGGATGGATGGCACATTATACACCTCATTCCAGCGGCCATGCAGCCATGTTGGTGCCAAATGAATTGGTCTGCCAAGAGGGGGGTCTTGACATCTGGGCAGCCCAGGACCTCCATGCACACTTCCCAGGCTTGCACCCTGGGGAGGTCACTTTGGTCCTGTTAACACAGCAGTTTTGACTTCTCCCCCAGAAATGTACTCCATTGTGTCTCAAGATAGACAGGTGCCAACAACTTTGCTGCAATCAAGGATGCTTGCACCAGTGTAAAAACAGAGAAATAGTGCAATGCCAGCTCCAAATACCACACAATCATACAATGTGCACATTTAACATTAGCAGAAGAAAATCCAATAGAAGCAAAGTATTTCTTTTAGAGGAAGAGACTGAGCCTGGAAAATAGGAGAATGAGTTTTCTGTCTTTGTGACTTGTTCTAAGAAGTTTTCTTTATTTCTTCTCCTTTAAAAGTTGTCTGAAAAGGACCATGCACAGAAAGGCTATGTGTACCCATACAGAAATAGTGAATCAATAAAATTCTAATGGCTATCCCCTTTTCAGTTGTCTAACCAGAGAAACTAGAGAGAACAAGAGGTGAGAGAGGTGATTCTCTTTTGTAATAGCAGGAATTGAAGTTTTGAGTGGGCGACAGAGGCATTTGCCTTGTCTCTTCAAATAATATGTTCTTGGAGAAAGGTAATAGCCTTTTATTGTCAAATCTTAAGATTCCTGGAATGGCACATATGTGTGTACGGAGTTGGAAGGGGGAAGGGTGCAGCTTTGCTGGTATAGCTTACGGGCATATGGTCTTGGTTGGTATGGATACCGTTCACTGAGCTGATTCTGAGTGAAGTGCTGTTGTGCAAGCCATCAACATACTTAGCTCGAGATGCAAATGATAGCCCACAACCAAAACAAAAAGGTCGTAGGGCAACAGCTTACAGGATCATGTGCTCAGGATCACTCCAGTTTTGTAACCCTTTAGCACCCTGCTAATCAGAGTGGATTCTGCTCTCTGTAGTTCTCACCTTGCTAGTCATTCCACCCTTTTGTCTACAGTGTGTATGTGCAGGATACAGAGAGCCAGCTTTGTGGGGTGAAGTGGTTTCCAAGCTGTATTATAGGGGACCCTGAGTTTTCTCAGTAGCTGATCAAGATCAGTAACGGTGAACAAACTTTACTGAAAGGCAGTTTCTCAAATACTACTGGTCTTCTCCTACAGCAGGGATGGGGAAATGGTGGCCCTCCCAATGGTTTTGATTAAAACTTTCATCAGCATGGCCAGTGAGTAGGGTTGATGGGAAATGTGGTCCAACAAAATCTGGAGGGCCACAGGTTCCCATCCCTTGTGTTGCTTGCATTTATTAGCTCATGTACTTATCATGTAGCACCAGTGAGT